ATATGACCAGTTTATGTTCCAGCTTGCTGTGTGGCCTCCTGCACTTTTGGGCCTCATGTGGAGCCACTGTGAGTAGATGCAGACTGACACAGTGGGCCCAGTACTGATGTGAAAAGCAGGACACATATGTTACTCATACTGTGGGCTCCAGATGTGCCCCAGTGAGGAGCCCCCATTGTGGGCTGTGTGCCGCCCACACTAAGCAAACAGGTTTGCATTGAGGCCGTACCCACAGTATACAAATCCAGAGAGCAGCTGTCTGTCATTGAAGTTTCTATTCAGAGCTTTCAGCTGAAGAGGAAGAACTCTGTTCTCTGTTTGAACCACTTCCTGTTTTACACTGAAATAACTTCATCACATTACCTGGAAGGCTGAGTGAAGATGCTGAGCTCCTCCACACGTCACTTCAATGATACCTTTGTTTTATAATTAAAGGATTTATTCATTCATGTATAAGGTTTTGGTTTGTAGCATAATGAGAACACAGGTGTTCACGCTTGTTCTACATACAGCTGTGACGGTTCTGGGTTCTTTTGACCAGCGTTTTGAGTTTTCTTGTGTTTGGTGTCTAATGTATTATTATTATTATTATTATTATTATTATTGTTCTTGTAGTTTACTGTTTAATTCTGAGTTCATTGTTATTACCTCTCTGAGTTTACTTGTGATCAGTTTAGCTCCTTGGTAGGTTCCTCTTGTGTCTTTGTCCTCTGTGTCGATCTGTGTGTCTGTTTAAGTGTGTTTGTGTCTTGTTTCCCTCCTTGAGTTTCATTCTGTTTTCCACACCTATCATGTTTATCTATGTTCCCCCAGCAAGTCTCTCTCCCTCTCTCTGCCTTGTTCTTTCCCTTGCTCTTGTGTTCCCCTCTCGCCCTCCTTTGTCCTCATAGAGGTCTCTGTGTTCTGTTCCCGTCTCCCTCTTCTCATGTTCCACCCAGTCTCCCCAGTTGTTCCTATGTTTCATGTCTGCATGTTCCATGTCCGGTTGTCACAGTCTCACAATGTTTCCTGTTTTAGTGACAGTCTGTGTCCTGGGTTGGTGTTTTCAGTTTGCTTTCCTCCCTTTCTCATCAGGTCCCATTAATCCCAGCTCCTGTTTCCTCGTCCTTCCTAATGTATTTAAACCCTCTGTTTTCCTCTGCCCAGCGTTGCGTCCTCCCTCATGCAGTGAGTTCCTCCTTGTGTTTAGTTTTGTGTTTCTCAGAGATTTCCTTACTGTGAGTTCCTTAATCTTAAATGTTTGGTGATTCAGTAATAAAGCTGCATTTAACTTCAGTTTCATCTGCCAGTCTACAGTCTTTGGGTCCAATCGTGCCTGCTGCACACAGCTGGTTTATGACACTAACAGGCACACACCTCCCTCTAGTGGTCACATTAAGTTCAAACATAGAAAAAGTGTTGGACACCTATAACATAGTCGCTGGGGAGACT